AATAGTTGTACAAAGCATGAGAAAGTGTGTGTAAATCTGTGACTGAGTAGAATAATAATAAGACTGTTGTTGTTATGTGCCGTCTAGTCGCTTGCGACTCATGGTGACCCTATGTATAACAGCTCTAAACTCTTCTCTGTCCTGTGCCAATCGCACTGTCTCTGACGTACCCATCCTGATTACCCCAGTCACTGAATCAATCCACCTCATAGAGGGCCTTCCCCTCCTCCGCTGTCCCTCCACCCTCCCCAAGCATGATGTCCTTCTCCAAGGACCGGTCTCTCCTTACAACATGTCCAAAGTATGCTAGCGTCAGAATCCTTGCCGCCAAGGAGCCACCCAGTTTAACCCTTTCCAGAATAGTGCTCTCTTAAAAATAAAAGAAAGTGATTTGGTCTTAAAGTAGTAGATCTATTATTTTTTTAAAAAATTAAATGACTAGAAAGTAAGTGTCTAGAAACTAAGCAGAAGTAAATAAAGTGTAAGATAAAAGGAATAACAAGTAAAAGGATTTTAAGTAATGATAGATTGTTTTGAATAGTCTTTAAAAGGAGAAAATCTAAGCAAAAGCAATTTACCCTTGAAAGTTTTATCTTGTTTTAAAATAGTCTAAGAAAACAGAACCTTGTTCCTATTATCACTGCTAAGATCTTGTCTTTTTAATATACTTGTCTATTTTATATATTTCAGACTACAATACTTCCAGTAGAAAATGATGTTAAGTCATTATAAATAGAAATAGTCTTGCATGAGCTCCCAGATCTTCCGTGGACCTTTGAATCAGCCTCTGTCCAAAGGAGTCTAAACGCTCTTCACAAAGTACAAACCCTTCCAGCAGAAAGTAAACAGAGCAGTCATCATCCTCGACTGCTCTTACAGCACTTAGGGCTTCCATCCCCAAAAAAGTTATGAGTCCCAAAGCAGGAAGAAATGTTCCAACAGCAAAATATCAATTACTCAAGTAAATTTTTAACACTCTTAAACAATTGCATTTGAACACGACTGTGGCAAAGAAAACCTTCAAAGCCTTCTAGTAAGTAATGACCCCTTAGTTATAAGGCCTCTACTCAGCCTACTTGATGCTTAAATTACTTTAGCAAATATGCACACTACCTGTACGCTAACCTATTATCTAAGGCAAGTAATGTCTTTTACGCCCTAAAGAATTTGTATATATATTTTTAAAAACAATAAAAAAAGGGAGATGGAGGAGTTACGCCAGAACTGCATAGATTAAAGAAATAAAAAGAATACAATCAGGACAAAAGGATACTCTCTTTTATGGATATGTGTTTCGTGTACATGCAAAGCCTGGATTCTCTTGCTGAGGTGGCCTTCTGATTTGTTGTGGACTTGTAAAAAGAAGGGTTAGAGAATATGGTAAGAAACAGTAGACAACATTTCGTCTTGTGCCTCTAGTCAACATGCTTTTCCACTTGGAAAGCTTTTCAAGAAACAACTGTGAAGACGACAGGACGAGAGGAGATTCAGCCAAGAGTTCCTCTCCCCTGACCTCTTGACTAACTAAAGTCTTGAGAAATTCATCCCATCACCTGGCACTTTTCTTCTGGTCAGAGAAGTGCAACACCTTCAGATGTATTTTAAAGGCATTACAGAATTGTTGTGATTGCTTGTTGAGTTAATATTGACTCAACGCAACCCTTTGATACACAGTAGAACCACCCAAAAGGATAGTCTAGACAACAGTCTTTAAGGGAGTAGGTCTTTCTCCCAGTTTGTTGCTGCATGAGTTTGAGCTACCATCCATTCAGTTAGTGCTTAATTATCAAGCCACTAGGCCTCTAACATATAACGAAATCAACTTAATATCATCTACTGAAGTTATGATGCTATTTCTGGTTATATAAGATTTATGTGCCAAAGCCCTACTCCCAAAGAATCTGATGCAGTAGTGGACATTGTTATGACAGGCCACTGAGTCAGAGTTGAGTCTCCAGGGGGGTTTCAGGGCCTGTAAATCACATGGAAGGCTATTTCCCATCTTTCTCTCACACAGTAGCTGGTGGATTCAAACTGTCTGTCTTTGGGGTAGAAGTGCAACTCCTTAATACAAGGTCAGCACAGCAGATATAGTGATATATCTAGATACAGATTAGATATAGAGATAGATAGATATAGATAGATAGTGGACATTGTTGTTGTAGACATATGTTGACATAGCTGACCCTAGGGGGGGGTGGTTTCAGAGGGAGCAAATCACATGGGAGGAGACTGCCCATCCTTCTTCTGTGGAGCAACTAGTGGATTTGAACCAAGTGCCTTTGGGATTGCAGTGTAGGTTCTTCCCATTAGGCCACCAGAGCTCTCTTAGTGGGCATTAATAGTAGCCATATGATGGAAACCTGTGTAACCTTTAAAAAAATTTGAGCAACGTTGAGTGACATGTATGAAATTCTTGCAAAATAGTGAATAAACAGAGCACAGAATCACAGTGGTTATTTCTGGATAGGTGGACAGTAATTTCTTTAATATTTCTGTTTTTCCAATACTTAATACCCAATACGGGTTGGTTTTTTTTTTAATATAATCAGATAGAAAAAAAATATACCCTTTCCTCATTTATTAATATAGTTATGTTCCAAAGACCAGGTCATTAGGTGGCAAATGGCATTTTGTGAAAGTGGTGAATGGCCATGTCAGGTCACCAAAAAAAGGATGTTTACATTATGGTATCATTGCCAAATTGCATTATTATATAGCTGCCACACTCCTGAGAATCATGGCCCAACCAAGTTGATCCATCACAGACAGCATTACCTTTCCATATCACTTCAGCATTCATTACTACCAGAAAGTACATCATGAATGTGAAAAAGTTGCATACTTTGTTTTTGTTATCGTTGCCTGCAACTAATAGTGACCCTACGTACAACAGCCCTAAATCCTGCTCTATACTGAGCCAATCTTATTGTCTCTGACACACCTACCCCCATTACCCCAGTCTCTGAATCAATCCATCTCATCGAGGGTCTTCCCCTCCTGCACTGTCCATCCACCCTCCCAAGCATGACGTCCCTCTCCAAGGACTGGTCCTTCCTTGCAACATGCCCAAAGCATGTCAGATGAAGCTTCAGAATCCTTGCTTCCAAGGAGCAGCCTGGCTTCACCCTCTCTAGGACAAACTTTTTTGTTCTCCTAGCAGTCCATACATTCAACACTCTTCTTCAGCACCGCAGCTCAAAGGCATCAACTCTCCTATCCTCCCTAGTCATTATCCAGCTTTTTGAAGCATAGCAAGTAATTTCAAAGACTATATACCCTGTATCAGGCACACCTTAGTCTCCAGACTGACATACTAGGCCTTTTAAAAATACAATTACAAATGCAAAATGTCAGATAGATATTTGAGAGATAGCTGTGTGTCTTTAGAGCTGATTTCACTCTATTAATGCTTGCTCTGGTGGTCTAGGGGCAAGAGGCTGAGCTGCAATCCTGAAGGCATGTGGTTTGAGGACACCAGCTATTCTATGGAAGAAGGATGGACAATCTCCTCCTGTGTGATTATCTGCCTTTGAAATCCCACCGTAGGGTCAGGTATGGGTTGGTTCTGATTCTACAGTATTGCCACACCCGCCTTGCTGTCCTCTCTGGCCACGATGCCCGTGTGACAAAATAGGACGTCCGTGCCTGTACGGGGTCTCTGACCTCAAGGATAGCATAAGAGGGAATCTTGCAAGCCCTGTGCTTGTGAGTGGGCTGATGCCTGGATATTTGTTACAGATGGGTCTTCGTAATCCCGGGAAACCTCTGGAAATTAAGTTGCTTCTAGGAATTGCTTTTCTATTTTTAAGCTATGTGCTGTTTCTGATAAGAATGGGAGTTTCTGGGGAAAAATCAGGGGAACTTCACCAGAACTGGGATAAAGATTTAACTAAAGTCCTTAATCAGGAACCACTTGATGTTCCTGGAAATGATAACAAACAAGATGAAAATATAATAGAAATTGAGATTGTTCTTAAAAGTATAATTTTGAATATGATCTTTGAGTATGTATCTAATTCCTCTTTTGTGATACTTGCAACTCATAGTCAGCAATGTAATTGTATATTAGGAGAAAGTTTAGACTAGTTTCAACAGCAGAAAGTCATAGTTAATGAGAATAAAACAGAGAGGTTTAAGAAAAGACTCAAAAGACAAACTTCTCTAAAAGTAAAGGTCTCTTCAAGAAATAGGAAATATTACCAGATAAATAACAGGTGGTGGGAAGAAAGTACTTATAAAGGACCATATGTCCTGCCAACTCCAACACCAGTACCTCTTCCTTATACAGACGTTTTGTATTCCAAGGAAAAAGAATTGAATATTACAAGTTAACTTGGTAAAAACAAGTTAAAGGAAGTCGTACACCTTAGTGCACATTGCCAAACAAAAACAAATTAAAATCTTATGAAACAAGTTGCAAAAGCTATTGATAAACATAGGAATGGCCCAGAGTGTAGGAAAATAGATGTTAAGATTCGTTAGGTACAGTACAAACATGAGTACAAAGGTAAAAACAAAAGTGGCTAAGATACAGTGACACAAAGTAGGAGAGGAAAGGAAGTGAAATGTAAACCATTAACCATTGTCTAGCAGATGACCAACATAAGGTCACTGTGCTTCCTGTTCAAAGAATGTTTAATAGCTGATGCTATTATTTATTAATAGAAAATACTTTCTTTTTGTTTTTTCTAGTTAAAATCTTATGTGAGCTTTGTAATCATAAAATGTTGGCTATAAGTCAAGTTTAACAAGTTTAAATGTATAAAAAGCAAGCTTTTAGCATAATAAACTAGAGCTCTCTACATCATCCTGGTGTGCAGACTCTCATTTTCGCCGACTTCGTCCCTCACCTGCTCTTCACCAAGAAACCCCTCGAGTTTCTTGTCACGACCGTGATCGGGTGGTCGGTGACACAGTATCAGCAACATTCACAGAATGTCTTTGGACACACAAAACAACAAATTAGAACATGAACAAAAAGAACACATGCACTTTACCTTCTCTCACTCTCGGGCAGCGCAGTTGGCTTCCTTGGATGTCATGTTGGTCTACCTCATGCCAAGTGAGGTACTTACAAGAGTCTGATGGAAGCTTTAAAAGAAGACAGAAAGTAGTAACATCTGGCAAATACAATTCCTTGACTTTATTGTGCAAAAGCTGTGCAAACCAAAGTGAGACGTTCAACTAAACTTCTCTTGTCATGTCTGGTGAGGTGTTTATAGAAATCATCTTATTCATGTTTGTAGACACTGAGTCAGCTCTGACCCAAGGGATTGATCCCAGGCTTAATGCTCCCCAGTCTAGTGCATATCTTTGATTGGTTGCAGATTGAAATACTGTGATCCATTAAGTTTTCATTGTCTTACATTTGGAAAAATGCACTAGATTTTTTTTCTAAGTTTTAGTTTGGAAGTTCTGCTAAAACTTGCTCAAAATAATAATATTGGTGCTTAACGTTATAGCAGCATGCAAACTTTCATGGCAAATGAATGATGACTTCATGTAAGTGCACTTGATAAGAACCAAACTTGGGCTTTTTGCATAGAAAATATAATTCTATCATTTTACCACAACTATCCTTATATAAGTCATTTCAATTTCATATAATTTATGTACACTTATTCAAGTTTGCCTTTCCAACTTGTAAAACTATTTATTTTTATGTTAAATAATATAGGAATATTACAGTCATATAATATAAATATTCATGAATCTAATTTCTACACCTCTAGTAAATAGACTTTAATATTTGTTAAATTCCCTTACAGGACTTTTCTAATTGTTAAGAGCTACTGATTACATAGGCTGAAAATAATTCCTCTACCTTGCTTCAGTTTGTGCAAGTTCTTTTTAACCAGAACCAAAACCAAGACGCTTTGCCAACCAGTAGAAGTGACTCATTAGTGGACCTTTTCCTTGGGTTTCTGATACTGTAAATTGCGTAAGAAGGAGTCCCTCCTCTTTTTACTGTGGACTTTAAGTCACACAAATCCCTCCATTATGTGAGCACTATTTTAAGGGTGTTAAAACAACTCTTCTTTTCTTCCTAAGTTGTTCAGTTATTACTCATAGATCATGGTCAACATATCCATGCATATGTTATATATCTGAATGGTTCTCCTCAGGAAAGCTTCAGTGAATTGATACTGTTCTTAAAATAGGTAGTTAGCAATGAAATATGTGTCACAAAAGGACAAGTCCTACATAGCATAAAGCATGACTTACATGGGTTGTTGGGAGTGGAATAGGAAGAGAGTTGATAGATTATGAACGCTGTATTGGAACAGAGAAGGGAAAAAAACTGTTTGAAAGGAATATATGACGAGGCGTTATTTGCATGACGAAAGTCCAGAATAAGAGCTACTTTACAAAATGGACTGAGGGCGGGGAGAGGAAGGGGAGAAATTGTGCAACAATGAATGAATATTTAACAAAAAAGAAAGAGAGAAATGAACTAAGGAAGAGGAAGAGAGGAAAGGAAGCAATGAATGAATTAAAATCTAACTTTTATGTAATGTTCATTAAAATCAAAATTAAATTTTTTTAAAAAACACTAAAAAA